AATATTATTTTAATTTTACTTAATATTATTGAAATGTTTGCTTTCAACTGTCGTATGCTAGCAATATCCAAACGAGCTGGACATTTCTACTTGAAGAACACACTAATTTCAATTAGTAGATTTAAAATATCACTTGGTAAGCAGCTAAATGAGGTTGGCAACAAATTTTAACGAAAAATATCATAATCATGGATTTTCATTCCAAATATATTTCTTGTCTCCACATCAATACAATGACTCAAATTTGAAGCATATTACTTAGAAATTTCAATCCCTGGAGCCACTCACAAATTGACCTACGTTGAGCCAACGTAAGAGAATATTTTGCTTTCAAAAGCTTGCTAGTAACAGTTTTCTGAATCTCCAACTCCCGAATTCTACAAATCTCCTTCAAATATAGTATGACATTAACATTATCTTTAACTTTTCCATTAACATCCATCACATCATTGAATAAATTGTTAAAAAAACTTCCTTTATGTGCATCACAACGAGATTTTGCCTGATCATGTTATCCTTCTAGTAAAACTGCTCCCAAAAAATGGATTTCTTTGAGTAGTTATAAATAACACTAAAGCCTGGTGGGTGATGAGAAGAAAGTTTAGGACAAACAGTAATCTTTGAAATGTCACTGAGAAACTAAAATAAATCATTCTCAAATACTATTGGAGGTGACGTTGATTTCTCAATTTTGTTTTTCTTGAACACACTTTTGTTCCTCCTCAAAGGATGTCCATAATAAAAAATCATACAAACCATGAATTCTTCTTGTCATGCTGAAGCGTGAATGCCTTAAATGAATTCATTCAATATAGACATGCTAATATTCCTGTAGTCATCCAACTAGATAACATTCCAAACAGTGAAAAATCACTTATCATCCACATCATTGTTGTTTTGATCCTAAAATTGTGTTTCGTTGTAACATCATAAGTCATGACACTATTTTTCCCAAAGAATCTGAAACTCATCTATCAGTGGCTACAAGTATACAGTAAGTATACATCAATCCAAGCTTACATCAACTAGATATCAATCCAAGTATACATCAATGCCTTAAATGAATTCATTCAATATAGACATTCTAATTTTCCTGTAGTGATGCAACTAGATAACATTCCATACAGTGAAAAATCACTTACCATCCACATCATTGTTGTTTTGATCCTAAAATTGTGTTTCGTTGCAACATCATAAGTCATGACACTATTTTTCCCAAAGAATCTGAAACTCATCTATCAGTGGCTACAAGTATACATCAATCCAAGCTTTACGACTACTGGGAATTGGTATAATCAATGTTGGGACAATCACTGAACAACAAGATGAAGCTATTGTAGACTGACTATTTGGTGAGAAGACATTCGAGCATAAGCTTATTCACACCTTATCGTGGTTCCGCAACAAACTGGGGATGTAAAAGATAAAAAAATTTCCATACCTCTTCATCCTATAACCTATTATGATGTCATGCCATATGTGGAGCAGTACACGAGTGATGCAGGATTCGAGAAAATTAATATTAAATTAATAATAATGATGCAATGTAACCCAAACAATAATATAACTTTAATGAAAAAAAAATTATCTTTAGAACCTCTTTTAAAGTCCCAATTCCCTTTTACATATAACGCAAGTATACATATCGTTCAAGTAATACAGGGCTCTAATGGAGTCCTAGATATCGATCCGATAGGGAAGCTGGAAATATATATAAGATAGCTATTTATATTCTATTATAAACTAAAAATATAAATAAAGTAAAGTACGAAGTTTGAAGTTAAACCACTTAAGTGAAATGCTACTAAATATGCAGATGTACAACTGGAACAAGTAAATTAAACTAAATGCTAAACTTTTTAAAATAAATTACTGAAATAAAATAGAGGTTTTTAT